AACATAGAAATTTATGTAAGGTCTAAAGTAGGTGTTACACACGGAATGACAAACTTAATATACCCTCCATACTATGGTGGCGGATATAAAAATATGTTTATTTTCAAATATTCATAGATCAAGAGTCTGGACTCTGCATACTATTACTTGAAATGAGGTTGAAATTATTTAATAATAAAGTAATAAAATGAACTTGTAATAATGTCCAATAGACAAACTCGCCTAACAGATCCAAAGTCTGCCTACATATCTCTCGTCATAATCCTATTTTGCAAAATATTTACAAATCTGACATATTCCTAAATTAAGCATTTCCACGTTAACATTTAATCTTGACCATCGACATAAATCCAATTTGTTTTCGGTGACCTATACTACCATTCAATGGAGGTTGTTGTTTGTTAGCAGTTTGGTGACCTTTAAATTACTGGCCTCCAATTGATCTCACTTACACCTCACCTCACATTGACCATTTGTCTTGTCTTATTCTGCCAAACAGAATGGCTATGAAGATAAGTTTTCGTTAAAAACTGGCATTTGCCAATTTGAAAATAAAATGCCAAGAACAAAAATAAGGCAAGAATGCAACAACAAATGTGGCTAGGAAACAATGGACTTTGAAAAAAAAAGCAAAACCATGAAGTAAAATATTACACACATTTCAAACAGACCAACACTATGACACACATACATCCACCCACACAAGTTGGTCACAAAAAACAACAGTTATTTAAAATGAAGAGCATAAATTTAATTTTCTTTTTTTTCACAAAATATGACAACATTTTAGCTAGTTAATATTTTGTTTGGATCTTCACACAAAAATAATTATATATTTGCACTGGGGGAATAAATTTGGGATAAAATACTGTCGAAATTGTCATGATTCGCCTTGCGAACTCACCTTTATTCCATTCTTTTCTTTTTCATGTATTCTTGTTGGTTGCTTGCTTGCTATAAATGTCGGTATGATTGTTGCTGTTGTTATTGTTACTGTTGCTTGATTTGTTTTTGTTATTTTTTTTTTTCTTTGTTTTCTTCTTCTTCTTTTTTCAAACTAGTAATAACTTCTCGTTCTGCTTCTCCTTATTCTTTATATTCTTCTATTTTCAACTTGTAAACCTGTTTTAAACCAACAACGAACACACTCTCTCACATCCACACAGCTCAGACTGCAGAATGCTGACATTCATGGGCAAAACGAACACATATACACGTCATAGAATTTGTTAACATGCACACTCGCACACTGTAGATTTATTTACACACAACTGCACAAAATATACTATAGCTGGCTGGCTGGCTTGACTGACTAGTGATGTTGGCTGCTACTGCTGTTAGCCGAGGTTGAGGAGGATGCTTCTTCTTCTACAGCTGCTTTACCTTTGCCCATATTTTTTTTCGTACACAACTACTACACTGGCAAGCATATTCACGAAAGCGCCGCACACAAATATTCACACAAACACGCAAAGCACAACCACTTGGCCACTCTTTACAACACTTTACAAAAAAATTACTTCTATTTTTTTACAATTACTTTTATTTATTCTTATTTTACTTTATTTGTGTAATATTTTCTTTTTGATTTCAAGTAGAATTTTCTTGTGATATTTGTTGCTGCTTTACTTTTTTTCTTCTTCTTCACTATTTTGTATTTTATTTTTTTTCTGAACAAAGTTTACGGAGGAGCTTGGATAGATGGCTTGCTTGCTTGCTAATATTTACACTTGCGATGCCACACACTCACAGAATTTGACTTAAAATATATTATAACTTATTATTTTTTCTTTCTTTCTATTTCGCTTCTACATCTAATTTCTAAATTATCATCATCGCAATGATTTTTTTATTATTATTTTTTGCCCATCACGACTTCCGCCGCGTTTTTCACGTTTAACGTTTTTTTTTATTTCTCGTTTAATTGTTGTTTTCGCACTATCGACCGACAACCGCACCGTTACAAATACAAGCATCGACTGTTTTTGATTTTTCAACATTTCAAAACTGGTTTCATCGTTGGACGACGGCTGGCTGGCTGGTGTGCGTGTTAACTTGTTTTCTTTCATTTGCTTTTGACTTGACTTTTCGTTGCGCTTATTATTACGTTAACAAACAACCACCTCTCTTTTTCTCTTTAAATCTAAGAGAGTGTTTCTCTTATGTGTTACTCTTTTCGGCAATAACAGCTGTTTTATAAAATGGGGTTGCCGCATCACAGGCTCAGTGATGTATTTTAAGTGGACATGTCAAATGAATAGAGGGTGTGTTTAGTTGATTGTTTACTTTTTTTCTAAATAGAAGCCAATAAGAGTCAATTTAGTGGTGTTGATATTAATTCTAATTGTTAATGAGAAAATGTAGTTTGATCAGGGATGTTACAACGTGAGGAAGGTTTTGTCAACTAGAAAGTTAAATTAAATTGGGGTTACATTACGTATTTAACCCTTAATGGAAATACAACATTTTAGAAGAAAAAAATGTCCCTGGTGTCACATGTTTATGTAGTTCTCTCTTTTACTAGATGGAACCACGGTAAATTAAAAAGGTAAAGTGATTAAAAAAAAACATTCCCATCTCAGCTTTTTTTGTAACTAAAAACAGAAACGTTAATAAACACGTTCCCATCTCTGTTATGTACTATGGGTTTATAAATATACATTTTGACAATGAGATGTTGTCAAAAAAATAATTTTGAGAAAGAAACTAAACATATGAATGCATGACATTACCCTCTTAATTACACCATGGATGCAACTTTAAAAAAACGTAAGGGCTAAGTGCGGCTCTGTAATCCCATTATGAAATGTTACAAAATATGCCTAGCCATGACTTCAAGCTTCTTATGTACGTAGACCGTTAGGAAATACAACAAAGTTGCCATTTTCAAAAAATAATAAAAACGATTAAAATGAATTGAAGTTCAAAAATTATATTCATTACTAAAGTCATATCAAATAAGATTTTCCACCTCTGCATTTTCTGAAATTTACCTTGTCAAATTTTACTGAATAAAAAACAAGTTCCCATCTCTGATTTCTGTGTATACAATGGATTTATAAATATAAATTTAGACTATGAGAGGTGGTCAAATAAATAATTTGGAAAAAAATTGTAAACATATGATTGCATAACTTAACCTTCTTAATTCTACCATGACAGGAACTAACATCACTGAGAACGTTTTATTAAGATGAAGGGTTATAAATCTCGGTCTTTTTATGTTTAAGCTCAAGAGAAGATAAATACATTTATGCACTGTTTCAGTATCTGCAAGAATCCACTAGTTTTTGGTCTGTTCCAGAACTACAAGAATGTAAAACTTTTTACATCGATAACCGATTTTTCCCGCAATTTTTTCGATATCAAAAAGGGGAAATCGGTTATCGATGTAAAAAGTTTTACATTCTTGCATTTCTAAAAAAGCTTTTACATTCTTGAAGTTCTTGAACAGAACAAAAAACTAGTAGATTCTAGCAGGTACTGAAACAGATATATGGAACATATAACTATTTTTACGTGCCAAGAAATTGTAAAAATTGCCACTCGTCACACATAAATATTTTAGATTTTAAACTAAATTTTATTTAAAAAATGACAAGGTCGAGTTCGTCAGAAAAGGGTTCACTTAATTTGACAATACACAAAGCGCTTTTTTGACTGGCTTCTTCGTAGAGGAACAAAGGAGTTTTAGGTTAACTAAGTTCGATTTTTGTTCTTTTCTGAAGAAGCATACCGATTACTTAAGCCAGTCAAAAAATGTTTTATGTATTCTCACCCTTACGTCGGATCAGGAATCCACTGTATTTATTATAAATATTTGTAAAGCGTACGTTTACACCATGGTAGAAGAATACAGGTAGTCGCTTCGACACAGCTGCTGGGACAATGAACTGTCAAACCGAATTTAAAATTGGAAATGTTGAATGAAAAATTATTAAAATTTGTAAAAATTGTTGAGAAATGCATATTGTAACAACCTTCGATTTGCATCGCATAAGAAAATATATAAAAATCTACTTATTTTTGACAAAACAATTCTAAAATTTTGACATATCAATGTTCGCAAGCGTTGATGAATCTACCTATATTTTTCTACCATGGTTTACATTTACTAATTGCCAATTCCATTGCATTCCGTAATCAAATCAAATCCAGTGGATTTTATTTAACGTATTCGTAATGGAATTATTAAAAGAAATCATCTCAGGGATTTTGCGTGTAAATTTTTTACTAATTTTAAAAATGAGGAAAATATTAAATAAATGAAAACAATTTGTTGCATCTAATTTTGAATAATTCCGACAGGAAGCGGGCGTAGCATTAGGAGTGTATTTCAATAGTTTTACCATGGTAGAAGAATACAGGTACATGTATCAATGCTTGGGAACATTGATATGTCAACAATTTTAAAATGTTTTTTTTTTTACATTAGTAGATTTTCATATGTTTTCTGATACGACGTCTATCGGAGATTATTATAATAAGCGTCTTTTATTTTTTTTTACAAATTTAAATAATTTTTCATTCAAAAATTTCAATTCCAAAATGAGTTTCACAGTTCATTGTCCCAGCAGCTGTATTGATGCGTCCACCTAAATTCTTCTACCATGAATTTTACGAAGCTGTTCTTCCTCCTTACTGTACCATGTATAATATGTAAATATGGCCTAAGGTTACGTTTACATTTTGTCTTTTACCGATGATCTATTTGCCACATATTTTCGAACGTCTTATGTCGAATTAGTCCGTGATAAAGCCCTTTATTGTGAAGAGGGCATTAATGTAAACATTGTCTAAAGTTAAATAACAAAATATTGGTACCCATCACGTGATACCCACATTCGATTTAACGCCATCTACCATTTTCAAACCCCATGACATGGATGCCTGTTACGTGCAATGCAACTGTGTGTTTACTTTGACATTTCATTCATAACATTTAGCTTTGGCATACATTGTTTGATGTCAAACAATTAATACAGCCATTTCACTCTTGCTGCCACCAAAAAAGAACGCTACATTCTCTAACCGTCTCTCTTTAAGTTATATCAAAAAAGAACAACAACAAACAACGAACAAAATAAATTACTTGCATAGAAGAAAAAATGTAGTTGTAAAAACGCGCGGAAAAGTAATCACAGAGAAGACCAAACAATACAAAACATACAACAAGGAAATCTCCAAACATTTGCCTTAAAATTTTTGATAAAAACTTTATACAAAATAGCCGCGGTCCGGCGGAACATTTCCTCCAATCCAATCTCCTAACAAAACGAAGACGAGACAACGGTGATTGTTGGTTGGCTTGACACGGGTAGGTTACGTGCGGTTAGAAGCGAGGCAGGTCAGGCGAAAGAGAAATACATTAGCAAACAACCGACCGACCGATGGAAATAAAATAACAATGAGTGAATAGTGTAATGGAAGGAAAATTAGTAAAGCAAACAGTTTTTGAAAAACAAAGACCAAAATGTGAAACAGAACCTTTTAATAAAAATTCAATTTTCCCCTTTTCAGATTTGGGCGGAAAAATATTCTGGCGACAACGGCAAAGACTTCTTTGTGAAAAATCCTACGCAAGTTTTTCAGCCATTGCCATCAAACGCTTGGTGATAAAGATTAACTTGACGGACGCTAATAGAACGGAAACGGTAAACAGTATCAAGGCAGCCGTTCTATTGCTACGGAACTATTATCGTTGTGGCGACGGTCAACAGTTTTTCTCATCTATATGTTTGATGCATTGTTGTGATTGATATTTTTATGATTGACTTCCGACAAATTCTCTAGACGGTTTTTGCATCTAGTGGTGTGGTGGTGGTATTTATCTCTACTCAACCGTAAATTGCATAGACAAAATGGTGCGCCGACGTACGCGCGCCTGTGCCAATTCTAAGGCGCCTGTTGAACTTATGACAAATGGTGGATCTGCTGCAGCTGCCTTGGCCAATGCCGCCCAACTGCTAGAAGAACAATACTTTGCTAGCCCCAAGAGGAAAGATTGTAAAGTGGAGGAATCAGCTTGTGATGAAGGAGGTCGTAGCAGTGCCAGCTCATCTCCGACAAACATTCAGACCGAAGATGCTAATGCTCACAGAACTAAACATAAATCCATCAGTCCCAATAAAGTAAAGGGTGGCATAAATGGGCGCACAATTGGTAAGTATTTTGTTCGTTTTGAGTTTAGTGATTGACATCAGTATGCCAGGCCACTCACACTTCTTGCGCCCATCATGATTGTCACTACAATCACTAAAAATTGTCTGTTTGTGGTGTATCATTACTAGTTGCAATGAATGGCATAACCTCAATCTTTTTTTGTATTGACTTTTGACTTGGTTGGATAGTAGAGGGGAATATATAAATGTGTGTGAGTTAGTGTATGTGTTTTGTGGGAATGTGTATATTCGCGTTTGTTTCTAAACATTGCAACAGTCGAAACTTTTTCTTCTACAAAGAGCCAAACAAAAGAATGCAGAAAGCTCTTCGTTTTTTATTGTTGTTTTTGTGTAAAAAAGATACTTTAAGCCTGTTTTTGGTTAAAGGAAAAGTGAATTTACAAAAAGTTTTGGTAATAAAATTTATTGTTGAAATCGGTTTGCAAATATCTGTGGAAAAAGGGCAAACATGTTAACGATAGAAATCATTGATGATGTACAGAAGATCAGCCAATGTGTTGAGTTTGATGCAAATTTTTTGCTAAACATGTCTGGCCTTGCCATGCAAGTGTTCAAGTACTCATTATTTTCCTAAATGAAAGGGTCGACAAACAAATTGCATCATTCTATTCCTGAAAACATTACTAAACAAATGAAAGGCCTTACAGATCACAATGTGTGGGTTATACGTATCGTATTTAAAGCCATTACAATAGAAAAATGTGTATCTTTCAAATTCCCTTTGCATAATGAGACCTCAGAATATATATTTTTCTGGCCTTTGGAAATCACTATGTATAAAGATTACAAAACAGTTTTAGTTTAAAAATTGATTAGAAAAGCATGATGCGGAATAATAGAATCTCGTGCATTTAAACAAAACTTGATGGTTTTAAGATTAATTATAATTAAGTTACATTCATTGTAAATGAGCTTTCGTCCTAACTTCATTTTGGCATTGAAACAACCAATGAAACCGTCACAGGCTGCCCGAATGTTGTTCTGCGGTATTTTGGCCCATTCCCGGCGAAGCGCTTGCTTGAGGTCATCGACACTTTGGCATTTTTTAGTGCCAAACTTGCTTTTCAAAATATTCCAGACACAATAGTCCAACGGATTGGTATCCGGAGATTTTGGTGGTCATTGTGCGCTGGAAATGAAGCGAGGAACCTCATTTTGTAACCATTATTGGGTGGCGCGTGCTGAGTTCTGTTGGAATGTCCAATGTCTGCGGCCAGAATGTTTGCGTGCCCAAGCTTAATACACCCTCCTGAATATTTTTGCGATAATATTCGGCATTTATTCTGATGCCACGGTTGATTAATACGAGCGGAGAGCAACCATCGGCTGTTATGTTATGGCGGCCCACACCATCACCATGGCCGGCGCTTGAGTTCTGGTGGCCAACCGAAGGTGCGCACGATCATTTTGTTTTTTACAAACTGCTGGACAACGAATGTTTTCTCATCGGAGAAAACCAAATTTGCCAGTTCACCACTTTCGGCCAAGCGGCATAAGTTCTTGCACTTTTTGGAATTTCAATGGCTTTACCCCAATCACGAGGCATTTTTCTGCCACTGCGACGCGGCTTTTCGACTTTTCGAACCATTTCTGCTGATGTTGTTGTTTTCTTCCCTCCACTTCCTTTTTTCCTTTTTTCATCTCACCCTGTATATGTCAAGTCCAGATTTGGAGACTAAATTTGCAGATTAAAGATTGTTTTCAGGTTTTCATATAGCTTCGCAAACGGTACTTTACAAATATTAGACTTTGTGTGGTTATAGCCAATATTGCCAGCCAAATGACCTTTGAGGAGTATTGGGAGTCGATAACGTCTAATCGAGCAACAAACTCAGATATTTCTGGAACGTTTAAAAGGAATATGGAACAGTATATAACCCTTTCTCCAACTATTTTAGCGATATTTTTTACTTTGTTTAACAATATACTTCTTTAAATATAAAAAGATTAGAAACATGGTCATAATAATTTCATTTTTCAAAAGAGAAATCAAAAGGTCTAAAATTTAAACATTTTAGAGGAAAGATCACCTGAAACAGTATCAAAAATTAATTCTTATTCCTTTTAAAAAAAATATTCGTTGTAGTATTTTTTTAATAACATCTCTTTTTCTTTGCCCCAACAGGTGTCCCTCTTGCAACTCGCTCCCAAACACGTACCATTGAAAACTTCTTCAAAGCTAATGCTGCCAAACAGAATAAAATCACCAATTACATGAATGGCCATGACGATTCTATAAACTCCACGGATACACCAAAAACAATACAACAGCCAACATTATCTGCATCCGTGACGCCACCACAAATGACACAGCAACAACAACAGCATATTGAACAACAAAAACGACAAATTAATGGCGACCATAACTACCAGCAGCAGCAACATTTGCCACCAGTTATAAGTCGACGCAGTTTGGATCACATTGTTGTGCCACAAGAATTTATATTTGATCTAAGTGAGGATACGAACGATAGCGAACACACCGATATATCGGACGAGGCCGCAATGTTGCACTCAGGGAATGACGACGATTGTGCAGGACATATGACAAATGGCCTTGATTTTACCACACACCGTTCATCACAACGTTCCGATAGTCATTCATCGTCACACAGTAGTTCAAACACCAGTGGAACAGACAACATATTCCTGCAGGAGCCAGTCTTGACGCTCAATGTGGATAAGTCGCCAAATCAAGCCTCGTCCATAGTAATAAACAAAACGCTCGAAGTACAACCAAAATTCTCTTCACCAAATCAAGTAAACAAATCACTAGAAGTTCAAGCGAAATTTCCTTCGCCAACAACTTTATCTGCCTCTGTCCTACATGGACGTTTCAATCAAATTGTGTCGTTAAATGCATCGCCGGCAAAAGATCCACCTGGTAGCTATGAAAAGAAATCCATGGAATTGAGTTGTCATGATTATGCTTTACTAATGATGCCTGAAAATGACAATAGTTCCTGCGACAGTGGTGTGGCCTTCCACACCACCGTCACAACAACACCACAATGCAATGGTACTTCCAATACCGAGGGACCAGTCGATGGTCCAATCAATCAGTCAGTAGCATCAGCAATAGCTTCTCCAGCAGTAGCGGCAACAAACCGCAGGCGTAAACCAGCAACACCTCATCGCATTGTCTGCTGCCCCTCACCTATTAAATCACAGCCAAGAGTTAATTCCCCGGCCGGTTCTCCATCGCCACGTAAAATGGCTTCGGCTCTCTCACCTCGCAAGTCACAAAGACACGTTACTACTACCGCCATGGCAGCAGCCGGTGGTGGAGCTGCTGTTGTAACGGCACCCAACAAAACTAGACGAAGACTGAATCAATCGCCTCCTAAAGAACAAAAATCTGCCTTAGACGCTGAAACTAATCGACAGGATGATGAACCTGTTGTTGTTATAGTCGATGATGATGTTGAAGTCGAAGACGATCATGATGTAGAATGTGAAAATATGGCCACAAATACAGTCGATATGAAGTTAAACAACCTCCCGCCGCCATCTCTTGTGAATGGTGGTAGTGCGTCCAAGTCCATTTTAAATTCAGCAAAACATCCAACAAATCAGCAAAATGCCACCAACAACAAAGGTAAATCCACAAAAGCCCATCACAAAACCAAATACACCGTTCAGAGGCCTCAGCACACAGCTCTGAAACACCAAGCGCCTCAGCCCTTGGCGGCCACAAATGGCAACCGTGAAATAACTGACTGCTTCCCCGTACGACGAAGTGTGCGCAAAACAAAAACTGCCGTCAAAGAGGAAATGATGCGCAATCTGGAACAAGCCATACTTGAAGAACGCTGTGAAGGCCTTAAAATCGCCTACTTTGAGGGCAAGGGACGTGGCATTATTTCCGAAAGGCGTTTCCAACGTGGCGAATTCGTAATCGAATATGTGGGTGATCTCATCTCGACCGCTGAGGCAGCGGAACGTGAAAAACGCTATGCCTTAGATGAAAACGCAGGCTGTTATATGTACTATTTTAAGCACAAAAATCAGCAGTATTGCATAGATGCCACCGAAGACACTGGAAAGCTGGGGCGTCTGGTAAATCATTCTCGCAACGGCAACCTGGTAACCAAGATTGTGGTGGTCAAACAGAAACCTCATTTAGTTTTAATAGCCAAAGATGATATTGAGGCAGGAGAGGAACTGTGTTACGATTACGGTGATCGTTCAAAAGAATCATTGTTACATCATCCGTGGTTGGCTTTTTAGGAGATAGTAAGATGTCGATGACAAAATCAACAACAACATTTATTGTTAAAACATTTACATTTAGGCGCAGATAAACCAATAAGCAAGACACAATAACATTATTCGCTCCTTTTGTTTCGCTCATTGTTTCTTTTGTAAGAAAGTTCTTAGAACTTGAAAAAAAAAAAAAACAACAACCTCAAGCAACCACACCACCATCCCCCTCACATAACATTACATGCGTATATACAGCGATTTTTTATTTTTAATATTTAGTATTGAACTAGGAGAATATTTTATTTAAAATCTAAAAAGTAGAACACACACAAAACCACAAACATTCAACATTTAAATGTTTCAAATAGTCGTATTTTTTCTCTTTTAAGTTCATACAGACAAGCTACAATGTGGGTATTTTTTACCTTTTGCAGCTATTATAAATCAATTGTACCCTGCCTATCTACTATCTAGCATGTTAGCTAGCTAGCGATCACCATGTTATCAAAGAAATTGTATTTATTTTAAATGGGATACTTAAAATACCTTTTTGCCGAATATTGAATAATTTTGAAATGATTTTATGCGACAGGTGTAAAATGAAAACTTTTTTGTATTTGATTTGATTCAAATTGAATAACATTTGAAAATCGTATAGATTAAATTATTTCAATATTTTTTTTTAGAAGAGATTGAGACTTAAATTTTATATTTGTAACAATGAAGAAGGTGGAGAGTATAATATCGACCAAATCATTAAAAAAGACTAGAAAAATTATTTAGTAAAAAAATTTCAATTTTTAATTCAAAGCGATTTTCAGTGAGGCAAAATGGGAAGAAAACCTTTATTTTGGAAAACATTTGTTGTATTTTCTCTCGGTTCTCTTAACAGGTTAATTATGTATGGGCCATGGGCTGAGATTTCTGAATTGCCGGCACATAATCAGATAATATCCTGTAACATGTTGACTATGGGAAAACATATTCCCCTGTTAAATCTTCTTGTTTGATCGTGCCCTTGTACAGACTACTAACCAAGTCGTTTTACCTTTCTCTCAGACTGGGGATAGCAGATATTGTTGAATTGAAAAATTGTGATTTAGTATCATAATGTATATTTTGATGCCCAAATACGACTGAAACTTGATCAGACGTTTATCTTAGCTTAAGTTTTAAGAGTTTATTCTTGCTGAAAATCGCTTACATTGCATTCTCAACGTTCATACATTCTTTTTCTTTGCAAAATTTCCTTAAGCTCATTTTCATTTCCTTTCCCACGCATTCAGCAGCCAGTAGTCAAAGTCTCCAATGTTATTTATATTTTTGCAAGTAACAAAAAAGTTTTTTTTATTTAAAATACATTTATGCAAAAATGGTTCTCTTTTAAGATGCCTAAGAAAGAAAATAAAATCAAATCTTAAATATAAAAGAATTGAATTTGAAAACAAAAAACTGTCTTATGTTGTATGACAAAAACGAAATGCAACAGAACATAAACATATATTAACTCTTAGATTTATAGCCTCAGAAAGAAAACCACTGAAGTTAAAATAAGCAACTTTACGTTTACATAGGAAAAGTATATATTTAATTGTTAATACAATATAAAATATAAACGAAAGTAAAAATACATTTTCGCAACATAGGTTAAGACTAAATTTATAACAAAAAAAAAAAAAACAAAACACAACAACTCAAATTAAGGTTTATATTCATTTTTGTAGAGCTAATTTAATTGTTAAATATTTGTTTCATCACAAGCAAGTTGGAAAGAAAAACAAAAATTTAATCTTATTATATAACTGCAATTGAGAAGCAGCTCTAACAATGAGTGCTATCGTCCCACTATTCTGCCCCCTCACCCACCCCATAAAATTGTTGGTCTGGTACCTTTGTTTCCAATACAAACATATTTCTTCCTTTTTTAATGTTAAGTTTTTATCAATGCACTATCATCTGGTCCCCAATTAGAAATAGAAATAAAATATACTTTTTATATTTCATAAATTTAGTTCAACCTTCTTGAACATTCTTCTGCCACCATCATCCTTTTTTTCTTTTTCACAAAGTTCCCCACAGCCCACATAAACAACAAGTTTTAATGTACAATAAACTCAAATATTTTTTTATGATTACCCATTAGTAGCTTAAGTTATTACAAAACAATTATAAATTTCATTAATTTTTCCTCTTTAATTTATTACTCTTCAGTTTGTAACTTACTTTTTATTATGAATAAAGAAATGACATCCATTTACCATTAATTTATATAAACACATTATTCTCTCTTTTAACGTGTACAAACAAACAAACAAACATTGATGGTAGAAAATAGAAATATAAAAATACAAACAAGCTACATACATCAAACCATCATGATTGTCAATTCCCCTACTTTCCCATGTTTCTTTTTCACATAATTTGTTTTTTAAGGTTTTTTTGCACATTCGTCGTGCATAAAAACAAAGAAGCTTTTATTACAATTAAAAAATAAATATTTAATTTGTAGGCTAATATATAATCCTCTTGTTTTCAATTACACTATTTAAGTTAATTTTTTTGCTATTTTTAAGCACAAATAAATGAAAATGATTAAAACATAAAAACCACATTATTAAACTTAAACAAAAAATTAAAAAAAAACGAATATATTTAATAATAAAAATACACAAAAAACAAAATATGGTGTTTTTTATTAACGAAGCATTTAATACTTATAAACTTTAAGCCAATGAAAATAAAGGAAACTTGTGGTACATTCGGCGAGAAACTTTTAAAGTGAATGGCATTTAGAATTTTACAGAAATAGGTTTAATAATTGTGAATAGTTTGGTGTTGAATATGCACGATATATACTCACGGTTTATCACGTTATTCGGATATTCGTTTTTATATCCTCAGCCATATGGCTACAGAGCAAATAAAAATAGTCAAACGCCATAGTTTTTACATTTTTTTCTAATATTGAATGAAAGCAAAAAATTTCGGAAATAGCATCAAATTTTAGAATAGGTTTAGATTTATTCGAATTGGTCACCTTTGGCCCGAATTATGACCTTCAAACGGCCAATGAAACCGTCACACGCTGCTCTAATGTTGCTCATTCTCGGCGCAGCGCTTGCTTGAGATAATCGACACTTTGGTATTTTTTTAGTGCCAACCTTGCTTTCCAAAATACTTCAGACACAATAGTGCAACGGATTGATATCCGGAGATTTTGGTGGCCATTGTGCGCTGGAAATGAAGCGAGAAACCTCATTTTGTAAACATTCTTGGTTGGCGCGAGCTGAGTGCGATGGTGCTGAGTCCTGTTGGAATGTCCAAGGTCTGCTGCCAAAATGTTTGCGTGCCCACGGCTTTAATACACCCTCCAGAATATTTTCGCGATAATATTGGGCATTTATTCTGATGCCACGGTCGATTAATACGAGCGGAGAGCGACCATCGGCTGAAATAGCGGCCCATCCATCACCGACCATCACCATGGCCGGCGCTTGAGTTCTGGTGGCCGACCATAGGTGCACATTTTCAGCTTACCTCTTTGGCAAGTAAACACGATCATTTTGTTTGTTCACAAACTGCTCGACAACGAATGTTTTCTCATTGGAGAAAACTAAATTCGTCAGTTCACCACTTTCGGCCAGCGAAACAACTCTTTAGCTCTTTTCAGTCTATTTTCTTTCTGTTGCGGTGAGGGTTCGTGCACTTTTTGGAATTTCAATGGCTTTACCCCGAGCTCATTTTTCAATATTTGCCGAATGAAATATTGCGATATGTTCAGGTCACGAGCCATTTTTCCATCACAGCGACGCGGATTTCGATCAAGTCGTTTTTTTTACATTTCGAACCATTTCTGCTGATGTTGCTGTTTTCTTCCGTCCACTTCCTTGACGTCGGGCTACGCTACCAGTATCACGGTAACTAGCGATGGTACGAGACACAAAAGATTTGTTTACATTTAAATGCTGGAGTGCTCTAACGATACGCACTTGTGGTTTTCCAGCCAAATATAAAGAAATCACACTATCACGCTTGAATTCCATCACGAAAGCGTTGGCTCGCAAACTACTTAATTATGGGACTTTGCCGAATTTCGAGACTTTGCCGATTTGAAATACCGCAATATCAAAGTGGATGTCAAGCAAGGCAGAGGCCTTTCGCCCATTTTGTCCAAATTATGTATTAATAATAAAAAGTTCTTTATTAGTTTTCCATTACGTTTGATATACGTTGACGATAGTTTTTTTTTATTGCATCAGGTCTGAACATTGACGATTCAAGTGCTGAGATATCCTACTACTTACCCCCCATCAATAATTTCTTTCGGGAGCACAATCGCGTGTGCCTACAATGCATAACCCAAAAATGTTTGGGGTTATCTTCGACAGCTTTCTCTAATGCTCGTCTCACATATTTCATATTTCGTTCCGTTAGTTAGTTATGCTGCTCCGGTATCGCCGACTTAGCCCAAATGCCTTTCGAAGCCATTTCGAGGGGACCCAATCATCGATCTGTGCGTCATTCCTAAGTGACATTCAGTTGTAAACATAGCAGAAAATTGCTAACAAAGATGAGTGCGGATGGACAGCGATGATCAGGCAACATAACGTGTTGTGATTTGACTCCCACCTCTCAGAAATTCAGATGCTGTCGTGAAAGCATCCAAGACGTCATTCCACAGCAAGTCAACATATGCTCTGTTCCAGAACTGCAAGGAGTTAAAAAGTAGGCGATGCATACTCATATCAATTTCTGCTTAGAATCGCCCTCTAAAGTTGACATGTAATTCGAGATTAAAGCTCTTAATTTTTAGCCAAAGGACTAATTTTATCGAAATTGGTAAAATCGGTTAAGATCACAATTGAACACTTACGAAATATACCCTTCTTAAATAATTAAAACACATTTTGTTTATATTTTACAGCTTTTTATTAAAAAAGCAGTCTTCATTTGTTAACAAAATTAAAATTAGAATCAAAAGAATCACTAAAGGATGTATAAAAAAAACATTTAACATAAATCCTTTTAATAGACAACAATTGTTATGCTAGTACGTACAGCAGCTTGTTTTTAACAAACTATGGAAGATATGACAAAATCAATTAAAAAACATTAATAAACTAGAGTTGTGCGTGAAGAATACAAACGAAAACTAATAAAAACAATTGCAGTTACTTTATCACTCGAATCGTAAAAACTATTTTAAATAAATAGTAATTGATAATGTTGCGTTTCTTAAATGAAAGTTACATTTAGTTATCTTAAACGAAATTACAAATCAAAAAAGCTAGTAGTACTCAATTCAGCAGGAATGTTGTTAATAATTAATCATTATTGGTATTGTTATTGTTTGTTGCGTTTGTAAATTATTCTAAGTACAAAGATTCAAAAAACTTTGACCATTTACTGATAATTGCTTACATTTAAATCTGTGTACATCATTTAGCAGCAAAAAAGGCAAATACATTTATATAAAAAAATGCAATAACAAAAAGTTTGACTATTCATATAAAAAAACAATTTGCTAGTCAATCAGTGTATATAGGTAAATTTGGAGTCGGTCGTTCGATTACTTTACTCTATTGTACATACAAAAAATTTGTTCGTTCTGTTCTCCAAGTTTCCGCATAAAAGCCTATATAAAACTATATTTGTTTTTCTTTAGTTGTTTTATCTAGAAAATAGGTTCTCCTTCTCTAGAGCGTCATGCCATTTAGAAATCTGTTAGAACTTTACGCCTTTTGTAGCGGTGTAATGCCAAAATTTAAACGCAATTGTTCCAAAAATACAAAGGTGATAATTGTATGTGGACCCAAACGCACGAAAGCTGGAATATAACCTTTGAAGAAACCCATCGGTCCCAAACGTGCAGTAAACTTGACTATATCCCACAGTCCTTTGAATTCTCCAGGTTTGGCATTCATAGAACGTGTCTTCAAAACATCCAAGGGTTGGGTTAGAGTTGTTGCAATGGCACCGGCCGCCAAGGATGCTGTGAAATGTGTAGCCAAGTTATCTTGGAAATGGGGAGTTGCCAAGAGCATAGATTTGATCTGTGGTTAGAGTAAGAAAAATATGATTAAATACTGTACAAGAAAGTCAAGAATCATAATTGAACATTATATACTACTTTCATTCGCATCTACTTTGAAAAGTTCTTCCTAAAACATACCTGATCATAGAAAGCAATCTGACCAACAGTCATCAAAACACCTCTGCCAGTAGCTGTAGTGGCACCGGAGAATAAACGTTTGAATCCTTCCTGGCGATAAACCTTAATCAGACCATCAATGGCATTTTTATAGCTGCAATAACATGTAAACGATTATACAATGACATAAATATTATTTACACTTTTTTCTTCACTTACTTTCTTCTTTGTTCGGCTGGCAATTTTACATCATTTTGCATACGGACATTGACCATATCCGCTGGAGTTCCAACAATACCACCAAAACAGCCCGACAAACTGGCCAGCGTAATTTTACCCAAGAAAGTATCAGTGTTAATGTGTTTCTTGCCCACTTCATAGATACCAAAACGTGTCATTGAGTATGTCATTTGACGCAACACGGATGCGGATAGACCATTGTACAAGGCCAAGACACCTTGTTCACGTACAACTTTGGCTGTTAGTTGCACAACGGACAATTTGCCTTGTTGTGTTTGCAAGGCTACCTTTACCAGATCCAGAGGATGGGTACAGCAGGCTGCTCCGGCACTAGCCAAACCACCAAAATACCAACGTCCCAAACGTTTGGATTTATCCTCGACAACAGCAGACATTTTTCTTGGCAAAGTGTATATTCAGACTAATAAAATCCTTGTGCTGCAAAAGAAAAATTGAAAATATTAGATTTTGCCCATTATGCCTAAGCAGTTGGTTTGAGAAACAATATGACCATGATTTCAAATGCTCTTTGATTGATGATGATGATGCAAGTTCATTAATTGATGTGTTTATGATAAATGACGTCACTTGTAGAGATTGAAAATCAAAACACGTCATCATTACAAACATTGTTGGCCACAGCCCCCACAACATTACCCGACCTAATCACATCAAGTGTTATTGAATACGCTCACTGCCAGCGAGTGTGTGTATTCTAATGTGCTACTGCTTTCAAAAAGGACATGTAGGTATAAAATAAACACGTTTTATTGCACCAAGGAAACATCGTATGACAACCCACACTACAATTTTAATCCTTATATTAAGGACATCTTTCGACACTTACTTTGTAGGTTTTGTGTTGAAATCCTTGTGGACGGAATTGTATGGGCGGATTATGGAATACTATATACACAACAGTAGTTCAGGCATTTTGGAATGTATTTAGGTTATAATTCTTCTTGGTACAATAATGCCAAAGCAATGAAGGACTGTTGTTGGTTTTGTATGTAGGAACTTTAAAATAACTATTAATTTTGCATGACAATTTGTTAGGGTTTGAATATAGATTTTAAATAAATTCAAGTGGTATCAAACCACCGACCCCAAATGCCAAAAATATATTTGCCAATTCTCCTACGACGCAATGTATACCGAACGAAAGTAACAATTACAATGAAAAAGGAAGGAAATCCAAACATAAACAACAACAAGTTTGTGGTAAGTGATGTCAATTATAACAAATATTATATTTGTATGCAATTTTTTAGTGTTTTCATTTCTTATTATATTACATTAGGCATATTTCTGTTTTAAGATAAAGAGGCAAGGATGATGGAAATGCTCGTACTGGTCGTAAGACTCTTGTGTTTTTATAAATAACGAGAAAGACCATAATGTAAAATGAAAATTTCTGAAAACAAATTGTCTTTTGTACTTGCAAGAGTCAAGTTTAAAGGAAAATGTATTTGTTGCCGTTGGCCATATTAATTTTGGTTGTCAACATTGGGGCCCCCAATTCTGTGTGAATAGAAAAGTTGTTAATGTGTCGTCAATTCATAGTGAGTTCCTAGTTGCCAAAATCATATGTGCTTGTTTTTATACTGATTGGAAGCGTTTGGTTTATTTTCTAAAGTTCTTATCAATAAAATACATTAAAAACGGTAAGTAGAGCAATTTATTTCATATACTAGCTATTAAAGGAATACATGGAAATACAAATTGTCGCAGAATGTGGTCAAACATTAAATGAACTTCATTAAAAAAGGCTAGTTTCACATTTGCTTTTTGGCATGGATAACTATGGTTGTGTTCGCGTACTTTTTTGATATAAATGTATTATATTGTACTATTTTTTAATAAACTCCGGACTTTGAGATGTATTGTACAATTATATAAGTTATAAAATCCGGAGGTTCTAAGCGACTTGATTTCGGCGGATATTAATTTTTGTGCTATAAGAAAAAATATGTCTACACTGTTTTAAAAAAATGTCAATTGAAACTCAGAAATTCTACTTTCATAAGTAGAGTATTATGTCTTTGTAATTTGTTTGTTTGGAGAAGGAAGCGAGGATCTTCATAGATTCACTTTCTGAGTCGATTTATGCACGTCCGTCCGTTCGTCTATCCATGCATTTATGTGAACAAAATGAAGATCGCATTTATTACACGATTGAGATGAAATTTTGCAAACAATATTTGTTTGGCCCAAGGACGAACCCTATTGAAATTGGTAAGAATCGGTTGAAATTTAGATAATAGCTCCCATATACACTGGTGGCCAAAACTAAAGCAACTGAAATTACAAGGAGAATGAATGCCCTGTAACTTTTTCAAAAATTAAGAAAATGAGAAAGTTTTTCTTGTTTTAAATTAGGTACTTTATTCACTTTTTAAAAACCTTAAACATAAAACCAAAATTCATTTTTATATAAAAAATAATGTTTGGTAAAGTCAATTAACCCGATTTTGGCTTGGACAAAACAAAAGCAACTCTGTTGTACATTCATATAACCGCTGCAATTTCAGTTGTTTTTACTGTGATATTTATGGCTTTTTGCTTCCTTCGACAATTTCGCTTGTCATAAATCCTTTTTGAGAAGTTTTTTACAACAGTATGTGTTTTTCTTTTCGTTTTTTAAGTACTGCCCAAAAAAATTTTAAAAATGGCTAAAAGCAAATACAGTACCTGAATAAAACAGCAAATTATCAGTGACTATCAAAACAACATATCGCAGAAAATGATTTCCGAGAAATATTTCATAAATATTTATGTGATTTCATAATTATTTCTGTATACTAAGTCAGTTTTTTGAAATTGGATCAGTAGTAACAGTCTATAACGGATGAAGGCCGTGAAAAACTTCAGCCCGTACTGATCCACAAATTGTGACAGAAATAAAAAACAACTATTTAAGAGTTCAACTGGATTGGTGAGAGAGCAATCATTGGATATAAGCTCGTGATCAGTGCGTAGACGAGTAGTGGCAGCTGGTCTGCATGCCCGTAAGACATCAAAAAACCATTTATATCTGAAAAAATCAAAAAGGCTTTCGGAAACGATAATATTAAGTGGAATCAAGCTCAATGGAAAAAAAACATTATTTCTGGGATGAGTCTACGTTTAATATTAAAGGCTCAGACGTAAACAATTTTACGGTGAGAAGGCCAAAAAATGAAGGACTCAAGCCGCAGTGTTGCAAAGGTACAGTGAAGCATGAGGGAGGGTCAAAAATGGCGTGGTGCTTTTTTTCTTTCTATGGACTTGGGCCTATCCATAAAATAAAGGAAGTTGTGGATCGGTTTATTTACAAATATGTGTTGGACATTACGTTGTTCCCTTACGCTGAGTAAAATATTCGGCTGATTTGGGTGTTTCAGCATGACAATGATCCCAAACTTGTATCAAAACATGTCAAATATTGGTTGCGGGAGTCAAAAATTCATGTTTTGTTATGGCCGGCACAATTACCTGACCTAAACTCCTTAGAAAACCTTTGGAGTATCGTAGATAGGAAGATCATGAGAGATTCGGAAATAAATAAGCACAATATTTTTCTAAAGAATTCGGGGTGCCTGGGAAGGCACACCCAAGGATCAAATTGAGCGTGTTATAGATTCAATGCCTCGTAGGTGTGAAGCTGCTATCAAAAATAATGGTTATGCTATCGACTACTAGCCAAAATTTAATTATTTTAAAATAAAAAATCAAAAGTTGCTTTAGTTTTGACCAAGCAAAAATTGGGTCATTTTAGTTTTCCACATATTATTTTTCGTTCAAAATTATTTTTGTATTTTTATTTTTAGTTTCTTAAAAGTGAATTAAACCCCTCATTTAAAACTGGAAAAATAATTACGATTTGTTTATTTTTGTAAAAGTTACAGGACATTTATTGTCTTTGCGATTTAAGTTGCTTTAGTTTTGGCCACCAGTGTATATCTCTTCAACGGATTTCGGCCAATATCAGTCGAAATGACCTGTATTGAAAGCAAGTATATCAAATTTGGAGAAAATCAGTTCAGATATAGTTATGCCTCTCATAGATATGTTTCATCCGATTTGGTGTTTAAGTCCCTCACATTCGTAATATGCACTCCATAAGAATGTCCAAAAATACAACTGCCAAATTTTATTAAGATCGGTTCAGATTTAGATATAGCTCTCATATACATCTTCAACCGATATCGGGTTAATTGTACACCAAATGGCCAATATCCTGTATTTTGGCACATCCGACCGAATTCTGTCTAGAAGCAAGTACATGAAATTCGGATATAGTCATAGCACCCACAAATATGTTTCATCGAATTTGGTGTTTAAGTCCTCACATTCGTAATATGTACCCCACAAGATTGATGTTTGGTATCAGATATCAGATATAGCCCAGAAATACCTCTGCCAAATTCTATAAAGATCGGTTCATTCATTTATTTGGATAAGGCTCCCATATATATCTTCAACTGATTTCATGTGTGGACCAAATGGCCAATATCAGTCCAAATGACCTGAATTTTGGTACAGCCGACCGAATTCAGTCTAGAAACAAGTACATCAGAAGCAAGCTCCAGTATATATGTTTACTATGATGCTATTTTACAGTTCACAAAATAAATATGCATTGAAAATCGAAAACAAGTTTTCTCATAGCAACGAATATCCAAAAACGCATATATTTACTTTGAAAAATTTCAAATTCGAACTTGTTTTGGGTGCACGAAAAAATTTACCGATTTTTGTATAGATCGAACCATATGAAAATTATAAAATAAGGCGGTGCACTATGTGGAATAGAAATAATAAAAAAACATGAAATTGTATTCGATTTGTAAATACAAAATTTTCCCAATTCATTTCAAAAAAAAAAACATTTTTCCAAAATAGCTTAGGGGGCTCGTTTGATTATTATTTCTGTGTGGGAATTCAAAAACACCACATCTATTTGTATTGCTGCACATTGTAAATTATATTCATGTGGATGTTTTTATTTCTGATGACGCCATAGATTTTTCTAATTTTCAGTCGGCAGATATTTTAAAATTTAATTTCCTCTTTTTTTGACATTGACCATTGGGTGAAAGCTGTTGTGGCCTGGCCTGTTTTCATCATCTAGATACAGAAATATTTGTTTTTCATATTGAACAAAATATCGCTGTTGTTAAGCGTTGTTCATTTGTTGTGAACAACTGGTGACACAAATGAAAATATGATGGAAATTTGTGTTTTTTCGATTCAGATCAAAACGAGCGAGAGGGAGAAAAACAATAGCACGTGGTTGGTGGACCTATAAGTGTTATAAAGTCTTATTTTTAGCACGTGTAATAAAAAATAAACATAAAAAACAAGAGGCAAGTTTGTCATTAATTAAACGAAAGGTGTTATTTAAAAATGAAAATAGGAATACAAAGACATCGGTAGCTTCTTTGTATGCGAAACACCAATTTTGAATTTTGCAAACATGACGAAATTTTGTAAATTATTGAATGATTTTTTTTGTGAATAATAATATTGCAAAATGTTAATTTTTGTGTTTAATAATTGAAACGAATGTCAAAATGTTGCTTAGGTTGAAATGTGTGTTTCTAGATTACATATGTATTAGCAACCGATATAGCAATATCTTAGTGTTATGTTTGTTTATCAGATAAGAAAATCTATATAAATTTAATTGTTTTTTTTTTTTTTTTAACTTATATGTTATTGTGAGGGCCGGTCATTCCATATCGAGTACCTGTTCAAGGAAAAAGATATCAGTATATATGAAAATTGTTAATGGGTAGACTTTGAATTCTGATAAAATTGCTAATTTCACGGAAGGTATTAGTTTCTGTCTCCAATGTTTGGATATGTTTGGCTGAAATTGTTATCTGTGGAAAAAAAAAACGTTTGTACTTTTTCAACTTGTCCCATATCTTCTCTTCTGACTCAATTACAAAATGTACCAATGTACTATTTTTTTACCCTCCACCATAGTATGGAGGGTATATTAAGTTTGTCATTCCGTTTGTAACGCCTCGAAATATACATTTTAGACCCCACAAAGTATTTACATTCTTGATCAGCATAAAATTCTATGTCGATTTAGCGATCTCCGCTCGTCTATCTGTCTGTGGGAATCAGGTTGATAAAATTTTGCTCAAATATATATTAAGTCCACGTCTTCGTATATCTCCCATATAACGGTAC